TTACAAATCTAACCTATAAAATTATACAAACTACATAAGCAAGATGACACAGCAAAATACCACCAACTCTAATTTCTTCCTGGACATATAAATGTAATAAAAACATGCTAACAAAAATAAAATTGTAAAACATTTATAAATGAGTTAAGTATGTGAAGGGCCCCAGGTGAGCAGAATGCAAATAGCCACATCGAAGAAAAAGAAAGCTCTGTTAGTTACACCCAACACAGCTCTTCCTGCTGCCCAGTATAACATTGTGCTTTTAAAAGTAAATTGCTGGTTGGGCATGGTGACTCACACCTGTAATCACAGCACTTTGGGAGGCTGAGGTGGGTGGATCATGAGGTCAGGAGTTCAAAACCAGTGTGGTCAAGATGGTGAAACCTTGTCTTTACTAAAAATACAAAAAACTAGCAGGCATGGCAGCGGGCACCTTTAATTCCAGCTACTCAGTAGGCTGTGGGAGAGAATGGCTTCAACCAGGGAGGCAAAGATTGCAGTGAGCCAAGATTGCACCACTGCACTCCAGCCTGGTGATACAGCGAGACTCCATCTCAAAAAAAAAAAAGTAAATTGTTGGCCAGGCAAGATGGCTCATGCCTGTAACCCCAGAACTTTGGTAAGGCAAGGCAGGTGGATCACCTGAGGTCAGGAGATTGAGATCAGCCTGACCAACATGGTGAAACCCCATCTCAACTAAAAATACAGAAAATTAGCCAGGCATGGTAACAAGTACCTGTAATCCTAGCTACCTGAAGGCTGAAGCAGGAGAATTGCTTCAACTGTGGAGGCAGAGATTGTAGTGAGCTAAGATTATGCCCCTGCACTCCAGCCTATAAGAGAGTGAGACTCTGTCTCTCACACACACACACAAATGTAAATTGCCAACTCCTGGTTTCTTTTTTTAAAATAAGAAAAATATTGGCACATACATCTTTATTTCTGGTTTCTATGAACTTTTTTAGACACCAGATGTCTCCCATAACATAAAATGCTGAAAGAAATAGTGATGTTAGAATGACAGTTTGAGTCGCTGTGTCTAAAGGTAAATGTTACAGAAGCAGAGAAACTTCAGTAACCCAAACAGGGAATGGCTGTAACAAGTGATTACTGATTATTAAGAAGAAATATGAATAAGCCGATTTAACTAAACAATAAACACATTTTGGATAAGACACATCCTAAAAACATGTTTGAGAAATTCCCAGAATCTCTAGCCAAGACAATTGATTTCAGACGACACAAGGACAAACCTATATTATAAAGATTGGAACAGGTAGCTTTTTGTTAATATCTGAATCTCAATCAAAGATTACAATGTATACAAAATATTCGGGCAACACGGCCCATCAAAAAAGTTATACAATTTTCAAAAGCGACTATAAAAAGTGTATAAAGTAATTTTTAAAATACAGAATAAATTGAACGGGCCAGGCTTTGAGGCTCATTCCTGTGATTCTAACACATTGGGAAGCCAAGGTGGGAAAATCACATGAGGTCAGGAGTTTGAGACCAGCCTAGCCAACATGATGAAACCCTGTGACTACTAAAAATACAGAAATTAGCTGGGTGTGGTGGCATGTGCCTGTATTCCCAGCTACTTAAGAAACTGACACACAAGAATTGCTTGAACCCAAGACGGGAAGGTTGCAGTGAGTGAAGATTGTGCCACTGCTGGCCAGGCTGGGCAACAGAGCAAGACTGTATCCAAAAAAAAAAAAAAAAAAGGACAGGAACAGTGGCTCAGGTCTGTAATCCCAGCACTTTTGGGAGGCTGGAGTGGGTAGATCATTTGGGGTCAGGAGTTCAAGATCAGCTTGGCCAACAGAGTGAAAGCCTGTCTCTACTAAAAATACAAAAATCAGCCAAGTGCGGCAGCATACACCTGTAATCCCAGCTACTGGGAGGCTGAGGCAGGAGAGTCACTTGAACCTGGGAGGGGGAGATTGCAGTGAACCAGGATCATGCCACTGCACTCCAGCCTGAGCAACAGACTGAGACACTGTCTCAGAAAATAAATAAATAAATTGGATCTTTTAGAGGTTTTATGTAATCCCCTAGATACCACCAAGAAAATATCTGTCTAGATACACAAAAGAAAATAAGAAAAATAATTGAAAGCATATCAATACAAAAATTAAAAAAAAAAACCACACAAGATAGAAAGAGAAAAACAAAGATAAAATAATCAAATGAAACAATAAATAAAATAACATTGGCTAGGCGCAGTCGCTCACACCTGTAATCCCAGCCATCCCAGCGAGGCCAAGGTGGGTGATTCACTGGAGGTCAGGAGTTCAAGACCAGCCTGGCCAAGATGGCATAACTCCATCTCTACTAAAAATACCAAAAATTAGCCAGGCGTGGTGGTGGGTGCCTGTAATCCCAGCTACTCAGGAGGCTGAGACAGGAGAATTACTTGAACCCTGGAGGCAGAGGTTGCAGTGAGCCAAGATTGTGCCATTTCACTCCAGCCTGAGTGACAGAGCAAGACTCTGTCTCAAAATAAATAAATAAATAAATAAATAACAGTAAGGTTTTCTCTTTCAGAAAACTATATATATATACACACACACACACACAAATTATCTTTCCAGTCAAGAAACATACTTTCAATAAAAAGGTTTATTAAAAAATTTTATCAGCCTGACCAACGTGCTGAAACCCCATCTCTACTGAAAATACAAAAATTAGCCAGGAGTGGTGGTGCATGCCTGTAATCCCAGCTACTCAGGAGGCTGAGGCATGAGAATCACTTTAACCACTGCACTGCAGCCTGAGTGACAGAGCGAGACTTCGTCTAAAAAAAAAAAAAAAAAAAAAAAAAAAAAAAAAATATAAAAAAAAAAACCCAACTTACTTTTCTACAAGAGTCACCGGAGATCTAATGACAAAGACTGAAAGTGACAAGATGGAAGTAGAAATTTCATGTAAATATTAACCAAATGACAGCAGAAGAGGTCAAAATAATATTACACAAGCTACATCTTAAGTCAAAAACTGTCATATTTTATAAAATGTACTTTAAGTCAAAACTTCAAAAAGACAAAGGACATTAAACAATATATAGATCACCTGAGGTCAGGCATTCAAGACCAGCCTGGCCATCACGGTGAAACCCCGTCACTACTAAAAATACAAAAAAATCAGCCGGGTGTGGTAGCAGGTGCCTTTAATCCCAGCTACTCAGAAGGCTGAAACAGGAAAATCGCTTGAACTCGGGAAGCATAGGTTGCAGTGAGCTGAGATCACACCATTGCACTTCAGCCTGAGCAACAAGAGTGAAAATCTGTCACAAAAGAAAATAAATACATAAATAAAATTATATATATATAAAAAATAGAATGCCTGAGTGGTTTTTTAAAAAGCATTCCGTATGCTGCCTACAAGAGACTCATTTTAGCCTTGAGTCAAATAGGCTGAAAATAAAAGAATGAAAATAAATGTACATTCCATGAGAATAGTAACCACAATTGAGTGATGTGGTCATAATTATATTAGACATAATATGCCTTAAGTGACATACACTGATATTATAGTAAAGTGAGTTGATTTAGCAGGAATCTATAACTGTAATATTTATCTATCTATATATATGTGTGTATATAACATCAGGGCTCCAAAATATATAAAGCAACTATTGACAAAAGTGAAGCAAGAGGCCGGGCGCAGTGGCTCAAGTCTGTAATCCCAGCACTTTGGGAGGCCGAGACAGGTGGGTCACAAGGTCAGGAGATCGAGACCAGCCTGGCTAACACAGTGAAACCCGTCTCTACTAAAAAAAAAAAATACAAAAAACTAGCCGGGCGAGGTGGCGGGCGCCTGTAGTCCCAGCTACTTGGGAGGCTGAGGCAGGAGAATGGCCTAGACCCGGGAGGCGGAGCTTGCAGTGAGCTGAGATCCGGCCACTGCACTCCAGCCTGGGTGACAGAGCGAGACTCCGTCTCAAAAAAAAAAAAAAGTGAAGCAAGACATACATGGCAACATAATAATTGCAGACATCAAGACCCAGTTTGCAATAATAAATGTAAAATTCAGACAAAAAATAAGAAAGAGAAAACTTAGATAACATTATATACTATATTAATTATTTTGCACATAGAGGAATACTTGAGAGTGCATAATTTTTAAAGAAAAAAGATTTATTTGGCTCACAGTTTGTCAGACTGTATAAGAAGTGTGTGCCAGCATCTGCTTCTGGTGAGGATTTCAGGAAGCTTAAAATCATGGTGGAAGGTAAAGAGTAACTGGACATACTATATGGTAAGAGACAGAGCAAGTGTGAGGTGAAGGACCCAGGTTCATTTTGGGAGACCAAGGTAAGAAGATCCCTTGGGGCCAAAAGTTTGAGACCAGCCTGGGCAACATAGTGAGATCCTAACACTACAAAAAAGCAAACAATTAGCCAGACATAGTAGTGCATGTCTGTAGTCCTAGCTACTCAGGAAACTGACGTGAAAGGATCACTTGAGCCCAGCAGGCTGAGGCTACAGTGAGCCAAAATTATGCTATTGCATTCCAGCCTGGGTGATGGTAAGATCTTGTCTCAAAACAACAACAACAAAACAATTTAAAAAGACTAAAATTATACACTGTTTTCTTTTTTGGGGGGTGGGTGATTAAATGAGCCTTTATAAGAACGTTGTAGCAGTTGTGTTTGAAGGCGGCTGCCCTACAAAAAAAAAAAAAATTTAATTTAATTTAAAACCCTAATTGCATGAGCAGGAAAACCAGGGCTGAAGCTCAACTGGGGCCGGTGGAACCCAGTCTCTAAAGGGAGTTACAAAAAAAAAAAAAAAAAAAAAAAAGTCTGAGAGCAAATCCTGACAGCAACCCCTAGGTTTAAGGACAGGTTTTAAAGTAGACCCAAACGGAAAACCTGAAGTCTGTGCGCAGCGGCTCGCCGCACACCTGGACGGCGCCTCCCGAACTCCACACACCTGTGCACGTTCACCTGCTAGGAACAAGGCCAGGGTGGCTTAAGATTGCGTCCATCGAAATGAATAGAAAAAAGGAAAGAATTTAATAAAATAAACCACAACAGAAAAACCCCGCAACAGTCCCCACTCCAGCTTCCTGCTCGGGGCTGCTGCCGACCGGATCCTCTCCTCCTCCCTTCACGGGCAGCTTCTGGCCTTCATGGGCAGCTTCTAGAATCCCTGCTTCTCTGGCTGGGTGTGTTCCTCAGTTTGTTCTTCTGTTAAGTCTGGGAGGTCCGGGGGCGGGGGTCTCCAGAACAAGCAGCAGTGGAGGCGTTCAGCCAGAGCGAGGGCTGCCTCTGTCATCCTGCATTTGTCCATCAGTTACCCGGGCGGGCCGGCCGTCCCTGCCAGGGGCTGTGGCACCATAAGCCGCCCACCCTCCAGGGCACAGGGCCAGCGGGACGGCGCAGCGCACAACAAAGACCCCAGAGTCTGCACGGTTTACTTTTAACTCCATCATTATGAGGTGATTTAAAAAAAAAAAAAAAAAAAAATCTTTCACCTTACAGATCGCCATGGGAAGGCAGTCAAAGATTGGGAGCCTAAGACGTGGAAAAGCAAAAACAAAACGAAACGCCCTGCTCAGTTCAGAAGCCCCGGGCGCTGGCCTTGCCCATGCGCGTCACAGTGTCCAGGGTGAGCCGCCCGTGTGCCGGCAGGGGCCGAACAAGGGGGCCGGGAGCGGAACCAGCCCCCAAGGTCCACTTTTCTGCTGGTGTCGGGCAAACTAAAGGCAAAGAGAGAAAGGAAGAAAGCCCACGGGAAAGGTTCCCCAGCGATGATCCTTGTCCGCCTATGAGGTGGCACCAGCCCCCCAACCCTGATGAAACTTTGCAGCCAAGAATTGAGGTCTCGCCTCTGCAGCACGGCCGGTGCTTGCTCTTGGGACGGCCACGGTGTCTTCCCAAGCCAGCGGAGGGTGGTGCAGTGGGTCCTTCTAGACTGGGGGCCAGGTGGGGAAGGAGGGAGCCCGTCTTCCACGGGGCCTGGCTCACACTATTTCCACGTGGCTGTCTGGGGGATGGAGCGGGGTGGGATCATGTCCAGGAGGTACTCTCGCTGGCGGTCCACAGCCGAGGAGCTCTTGTGCACCACCACGCTTGGGCTGACAAACACAAGGGTCCCGCCTGTGCATCTTCTTCCAGTTGGAGGTGCTGCTGCCCTTGACAGGTTCATTCGGAATGTCTGCCGATCCTGCTGACCAGGGCTGTGGCCAAGGCTGAGTTCTGCAGTTTGGGTGACTGACTGAACGTGTGCAGGACACCTCGGGGCGTCATGGTCGAACCCTGGGACAGCAGGCTAGAGGCCTGTAGCACAGCCCCGTTACTCTAGTCGCAGGCCTCTCCTGAGCGGAATGCCAACCTACGCCGGAGTTGTATGACCTGCTTCAGCGTGGGATGTGGGGCAGCGGCGGTCTCGGCCTTAGCCTGTGCAGCAGAGGCTGCGCCCTGCTGCAGGAGCTGCTGCTCAATCTCCTGCTGCTGCTACAGCGCCTTCAGGAAGGCGGCCTTCAGCCAGCTGGTGTGCTCCACCTTGAGCGCCTTCTTCTGGTTGGTCCTCATGCAGTTCTCACACGTGATGGCGCCGCTCTTCTCCTCCCGCCAGCGGCACATGAAGTCCATCTTGCAGTGTGCACACATGTAGGGCTCCCGGGACAGCACAGTGGCGGCCAACATCCTGGCCGCTTGTGTCTCCAGTAGGTTCTGCACCACCTCCTCCAGGCTGACCAGGTAGATGAACTCACTGTTGGGGGCGCTGGGCAGAAAGTTCATCTCCGGGGCTGGGCGCTCGGGTGGGGGGAATCTCGAGTAGCGTCTTCTCCAGCTGTTTGCGCAGCGCCACCTTGGCGGCTGCCTGTCGGCTTGCTGAAGACTCGGTGGAGGTGACCACAGAGGCCACGCTAGTGAGGGTGGAGTTGGCCTGAGCGTAGGAGGCTGTCCTCCCCTTCAGTGATGCTGGGGTGGGCTGTGGGATGTTGATGAGCAGGCTGGTGTTGAGAACACTGGCAATGCGGATGAGGCCCTGCTGGACGATCCTCTGTCCCTGAATCTGCACACTGGGCACCGATGCCCGGGGGGCCAGGAGGGGCGGTGGGCCTGTGCTGGAATGTTGCATAATGCTATGGATTTGCTGGGGCCCCCTGACCAGCGGGGTCATGACGACCTGCGAGTTCTCCTGCAGCCCCAGCTTCAAGGACACCTGCTGCCCACCTCGGACCAGGGGTGGGGGTATGACACTGCCAGACATCCGAGCTGAAGAGATCTGGGGTGACGGCTTGCCAGCAGGAATGTTCTGAGTGCTCCGAACAAGCGGCGGAGGGGTGGTCACGGCGCTCCAGACAGAACCTGCGGGCTTCTGGGCGGTGGCTTCCTTTCGTATTTGACTCCTCCGCAACTTTTTCAACAAAACGAGTTTTGCTGCTTCTAACCTCAACTCTTCTTTCAGCTGCTTGAATATCCTTTCTCGTTCTTTCGGGTTGCTTTTCATGACAGCCTCGGCGCTAGTCTCCTTCAAGGCCACCGTGATCAGCCCATTCTCTCTCGGGCTGGAGGGCTGCTCGTTGTGGGAGAGTACAGTCATGTCGGGTAAGGGGGGGTCTTCTCTCAGATTTCATGTCACTGTGTGAGGAGGGCATGTCCACGGGTCCATCGCCCACCAGACCTTCGTCTGTGCCCATGGCCACCGTCGTGGCCCCTGTTGCCCTCAGCAATCCTTGGGCTGGACCCGCCCCCGGCTCAGGTGTCACCCTTATGTCTCTGTCAGTGTTTAAATCTGAAGCCAACAATCCTCTCTCCATTTTTATTTTCTTGCTCTCCACGTCGTCCTCTGTTGGGTCCAGTTCAAGCGCTCGTTTCTGACTCCGTTTTTGGCATGCTTCTTCGGTCATTCTGAACTGGCTTCGCGGTATGGGGTGCTGGTCCTACCAGTTGGTCATGGCCACAGTGACGTCAAAAGGCTACCTACTTGAGACGACGTGCTGACCAACCAGGCCGTGGGTCGGCCAGGCCCTGGGCAGCGCGCGGGTTAGTGGGGCTGCGGGTCCGGGGTCGCCCGTGGGGCCGGGTGGCATTGGGGCCGGGGGCGCTGGGCCACGCGTGCTTGTTATGCCTGTGGGGCCGCCCAGGTCCGCCACGCTCGCTCATCTGTGCTCGCTCAGCCTGTCTGCTGGCCCGCCAGCGCCACTGGCCAGATAATACGCCCCGGGGCCGCACACATGGAGCTGGGCGCCGGTGTCACCGCCCGGGACATGCGCACCAGGTCAGTGCGCTCAGCCCGCGGTCCCCAAAACACTGGGGTGCTCTTACAGGCGATGCCACCCGCCCGCGCCCAGCTGGGCGGGGCCTTACACTGTGCTTTCTAACAAAAACTGAATGAAACTAGGAATTAAAAGCAAAAGTCAGATGGCAAATTCAAAAAGATGTGAATATAAAACACACTCTTCAACATATTCTTGCTCAGGGGTCAAAAAATTTCATTGTTCAAATTTGTCAATACAACCAACGGTTAAAAGCTGTAGTATCAACACTGATAAAATAAAGTTGGATTATTTCCTTTAATGATACAAAAATGTATTTTAAATAAAATACTTAGACAAAATGAACTAACAAATCTTTTAGAAAAAATACCAAGAAAAGCCGGGCGCGCTGGCTCACGCCTGTAATCCCAGCACTTTGGGAGGCCGAGGTGGGCGAATCATGAGGTCAGGAAATCGAGACCATCCTGGCTCACACGGTGAAACCCTGTCTCTACTAAAAATACAAAAAAATTAGCCGGGCGTGGTGGCAGGCGCCTGTAGTCCCAGCTACTCGGGAGGCTGAGGCAGGAGAATGGCGTGAACCCGGGAGGCGGAGCTTGCAGTGAGCAGAGATTGCGCCAGCGCACTCCAGCCTGGGTGACAGAGCAAGACTCTGTCTCAAAAAAAAGAAAAGAAAAAATACAAAAAAAAGACATGACATTGGTCTTGGCACCATTTTCTTAGATACAACATTAAATGTATGAGCAACAAATAAAATAACAGGAAAGTTTACACTATACTTCAAAATTTCTGAAAGAAAAAATTTCAAGAGTGACAACGTCCCTTAGAAAGTGGCTGAAAACATTTGCATATTACTTGTTAGAGGAGTTAGTATTCAAAATATATAAATGACTCTTTAAACAGTAAAGTTGAATAACTTGATTTAGAAATGGACAAACAAAACTTTTCTCAAAAAAACACACAAATGGAAAAATGCACTTGAAATGACACACAGAATTACTAATTTGTAGAGAAATGAAAAAAAGAAACATGATAACATTCAAAATCACCTCACACCCATTAGAATGGCCACTATAATTTTTTTTTAATACACCAAATCTGTTGATGATGCAATAAAAATGAAACCCACGTTGACTGCTGGTGGAAAATAACTTTGCAGCCATTATTTTAAAATGTTATAAATATTCCTCATTTATAAATCTATATCCAAAATACATAACACAGGCCAGGCACAGTGGCTCAAGCCTGTAATCATAGCACATTGGGAGACCGAGGTGGGCAGATCAAATGAGGTCAGAAGTTCAAAATCAGCCTGGCCAACATGGTGAAACACTGTGTCTACTAAAAATGCAAAAACTAGATGGGCGATGTCATGTGCACGTAATCCCAGGAACTTGGGAGGCTGAGGTAGGAGAATCGCTTGAACTCAAAAGGCAGAGGTTGCAGTGAGCCGAGATCACATGACTACACTCCAGCCTGGGTGACAGCATGAGACTCGATCTCAAAAAAATAAAAATAAAAATAACAAACAACAAAAGAAACAAAATATGTAAGACAGGACCTGGAAGACACATTTGAAAATCCATGTTTATTTTACCAGTATGCACAAAAGTCAAAAGGCTGAAGCAACCCAGATGTCTCTTGATTTATAAACATACCAAAAAATGTAACATATACATATGATGGAATATTATTCCACTTTAAAAAGAACAATCTTGTCACATTTTAAGATGAACATTGAAAATATGTCACCTGAATTAAACCAGTAACAAAATTATGGATACTGTATGATTCCACTTACATGAGGTATCTTTATTTTATTTATTTATTTATTTTTGAGATGGAGTTTCACTCTTGTTGACCAGACTGGAGTGCAATGGCACAATCTTGGCTCACCACAACCTCCACCTCCCAGGTTCAAGTGATTCTCCTGTCTCAGCCTCCCAAGGAGCTGGGATTATAGGCATGTGCCACTATGCCCGGCTAATATTTTTGTATTTTTGGTACAGACAGGGTTTCTCCATGTTGGTCAGGCTGGTCTCAAACTCCTGATCTCAGGTGATCCGACTGCTTTGGCCTCCCAAAGTGCCAGGATTACAGGCATAAGCCACTGTGCCCAGCTATATGAGGTAGCATAAGTAGTCAAAAATCATAAAAACAGAAAGTTGAAGGTTTGTCTGTCAAGGGCTAGGGAGAGGGTAAAATGAGCAGTTGTTACTTAATGGAATTAAGTTTTAGTTTTATAAGATGTAAAGTTTCTAGAAGTCTTTTGCATAACAATGTGAATATACTTAACATGCCTGAAATGAACAACATTTTTTTGAGACAGGATTTTACTCTGCAGTGTAGTGGCACAAATTTGACTCCCTCTCAATCTCCCAAGTACCCGGGACCACGGCTACATACCACCATGCTTGGCTATTATTAATTTTTTTTAAAGAGAGGGGTCTCCATATGTTCCCCAGGCTGCTCTCAAACTTTTGGGCTCCAAGGATCCTCCTGCCTTGGCATCGCAAAATCCTGGGATTACAGATAAGAGCCACAACCACGCCTGGCCCTGAAATGTACACTTCAATAGATTTAAGACAGTAAATTTTATGTTATGTGTTTTTAAAACAATTTTGTAAAGAAAAACTGAAACAAATACAGAATTATAAATCCTGTTGAAAATTACCTTCAAATCACAAAAGTGTTTTTCTCATAAAAGGAAGTATATATTCATCATTAAACACATGGAAAAAATAAAACTATCTCAATGACTGCTCACTTAAAACTACCATCGAAAATCAGCTAAGAAAGAATATAAGAGAAGCCACAACTAAAATTGGTGTCATATTTATAAACACACATACATATGTAATCTGATTATAATAAACATGCATAATTTTATTTATTTATTTATTTATTTATTTATTTATTTTGAGACAGAGTCTCGCACTGTTGCCCAGGCTGGAGTGCAATGGTGTGATCTCGGCTCACTGCAACCTCCGCCTCCTGAGTTCAAGTGATTCTCCTGCCTCAGCCTCCCAAGTAGCTGGGATTACAGGCACCCACCACCACACCTGGCTAATTTTTTTGTATTTTTAGTAGAGATGGGGTTTCACTATGTTGGCCAGGCTAGTCTCAGACTCCTGACCTCATGATCCACCTGCCTCAGCCTCTCAAAGTGTTGGGATTACAGGCGTGAGCCACCGGGCCCAGCAATTTATCTCTTAATTAAACCTCAACTTGACTTAAATGTACAAACAGAATTGCAAATTTTCTAAAATTATAATATAAAAGTAAAACCAAGACACAATAAACTGATGTTAAGAAACCTACACTAAGGCCAGGCACAGTGACTCACTCCTGTAATCCCAGCTCCTTGCAAAGCTGAGACATGAGAATTGCTTGAACCTGAAAGGATATTCAGTCTGTCCAAAAATAAAATGGGAATCACAACTACCCAAGCCCCTGTACCAAGCCAACTAAAGGTGGGCCCTAGAGCAGACCCAGCAGTCTTGTGACCAAGCTACAACCCCTTTTCACTAAAAATTCACAGTGTATCTCATCACCCTAAGGGCCCAATAAAAGAAGATCTTTACCTTCTAAAATCAGTTTATGAAAACTTGAAGAGGTGTTTGCTCCATCAAATTTAGACACCAGTACAAAACTATATTGTGCCCATTGTCGATGCTTCTTTTTTTTTTTTTTTTTTTTTAATTGAGACGGAGTTTCGCTCTTGTTGCCCAGGCTGGAATGCAATGGTGTGATCTCAGCTCACTGCAACCTCTGCCTCCCAGATTCAAGTGATTCTCCTGTCTCAGCCTCCCAAGGAGCTGGGGTTACAGGTGCATGTCACCACACCTGGCTAATTTTTGTATTTTTAGTAGACACGGGGTTTCATCATATTGTTCAGGCTTGTCTCGAACTCCTGACCTCAGGTGATCCACCTGCCTTGGCCTCTCAACGTGCCTGGATTACAGGTGTGAGCCAGGGAGCCCAGCCAATGCTTCTATTTCAATGTAGTACTGGAAGTATGTGGCAGAAGAATTAGTCAAAGAAATTTAAAAAAACCATTGAAATTGAAAAAAAAAAAAGTAAAAAGTTGCTGTTTGTAGATCATACAATCATATATTTAAAAAAACATAAAAGGGCAAATAAAACCTAACAAAAAAATAAAGTCAGTAAAAAAACAAAAAATAAAATTAAAAAAATATGTTTGTTTTTTTTAAAAACCTTTTTTTTTTTTTTTTTTTGAGAAGGAGTCTAGCTCTTTTGTCCAGCCTGAAGTGCAATGGTGTGATCTCAGCTCACTGCAACCTCTGCCTTCCAGGTTCAAGCGATTCTCCTGTCTCAGCCTCACGAGTTGCTGGGATTACAGGCATGCACCACCATGCGCAGTTAATTGTTTTATTTTTAATAGAGACAGGGTTTCTCTATGTTGGTCAGGCTAGTCTCAAACTCCCGACCTCAGGTGATCAGCACGCTTCAGTCTCCCAAAGTGCTGGGATTACAGGTGTGTTCTAGTACTTTGGGAGACCGCCCCCGGCTATGGTTCAATACACTTAAACTGCGCCCAGCTACAGTTTCATACACTTAAACTATCTGATAAAATAGAGAAAAAAATATTATTTACTATAGCATTAAATAATACATTTCTGAGAAAAAAATTAACCAAAGGATGTAAAAACCCCTTAAAATTAAAAAAAAAAAAATCAATGAAAAAAGGGAAGATCAAAATAAATTTTAAAAAATTTTATGTCTTTGGATTGAAAGAACAAATATTAATAAAGTGCCATATTATCCAAAGTGATCTATAGATTCAACACACTTCCTATCAAAATTGCAGTAGTGTTTTTTTCACAGTAATGGAAAATTCAATTGTAAAATTTACATGAAATTAAAATAAACGTTGACTAGCCAAAGCAATCTTGAGGAAAAGGAACAAAGCAGAAGAATATCATACTTATAATTTCAAACTATATTTGAAGACTTTATAGTAATAAAAACAGAATGGACTGTGCAGAAAAATAAACAACAAAAAAAATGCAACAGAAACTACTACTCTCACGCATTTCCGACCTGATGTAAAAAGAGGACTTAAAAAAAATAGTTTTAGTTTCTCAATATTATGCAGATATTTGTGTGTCCCCAAAACAATGGAAAAGCAGACAGATTGTGAAGTCTCTTTCTTCTTCTTTATTTATTTATTTTTTTTTGTGAGATGGAGTCTTGCTCTGTTGCCCAGGCTAGAGTGCAATGGCATGATCTCAGCTCACGACAACCTCCACCTCCCAGGTTCAAGTGATTCTCCTGACTCAGCCTCCCAAGTAGCTGGGATTACAGGCACCCGCCACCACGCCCAGCTAATTTTTGTATTTTTAGTAGAGATGGAGTATCACTATGTTGGTCAGGCTAAGCGCAAACTTCTGACCTCATCTGATCCACCTGCCTTCACCTCCAAATGTTCTGGGA